CAGTGTGTGTTTGCGGTGAAACCCGGGGGGATTTCTTTCTAGTCCTTTCCCAGGAGGAGCTCGTTGCGGGCGGTGGTCTCTGCTGTGCCCAGGGATCTGTCCCCAACACTCGGGACGCCCCGTGATGTCTCTGCCTCATCACCAGCCTCCAGCGAGGGCCTTGAGGCTCCCTCAACATGGCATCCTCGGGGAAATGCTCTTCCGGGGATGAACCTGTGAAGGGCGCACTGCCCCCGTCTTTTCGTGTTACGTATCTTCATCTCAACATTGCTTTTATCGTGGGAAAAGAACAGACTCAAAATTGATGCAAAAGAGAGCAAGTTTTTCATAACAGTGCTTTTTATTTGCATGGGGATTTTGACTTTTAAAAACATTTTCCTCTTTACTTTTCATGTAATTGTAGAAACATCAGACAAATGGGTAAGCTTAAAAAGGGAGAATTAAATTAAAATCACCCCAAATCCCCACTCACATAGACCAGACTCAGCCCCTTCCAGGCTGTTCCATATGTGCTGTACATAATGCACCCGCATTTCTTCGCAACCGTGAAATGCACGAATACCGCCCTCTGCAGCCAGCTTTCCACTTGGTTTATTACGAGCGTCTCTCAGAAATGTCAGCCCTGGATAACAAAGTCCCGCCTTCTTAGTTGTGCTGCTTCCCCGCACCTGAGACCCCAGTCCACCTGGCCAGTGGCCTGTTGGCCAGCCCAGGTTCTTCCCATGTGTTTTCCTGTCCGTGTCGCCCTCACACAGCCCGACAGGTCACAGGGGCCACGTTGTCGTCCCTTCTCACAGGCGGGGACACGAGCAGGGGCAGCTGCCTGACTGTCCTCTACACACCTTGCATGTGGGGGTGGGCGACGCATGCTCAGGAGGACCGTGAGGCACCCGCGGGTCCAAGGGCTCGGAGGAACTGTCCCGAGCTGGGTATGAATGCGCCGAGCACTGGGTCAGCACACGGCTACCAGACCAGTCGGCGGGCAGCCCTCAGCAGGTGCTTATGCTCCCCTGCAAATTATACTCTTTAGGGCTGCCCTCAGGCCTGTCAGCGGACCACGGGGACAACGAGAGAGAAAACCCAGCCACACTGCAGTGGTATAACACTGTCTTTTATTGAGAACATGTCAAATCCTTTGTGTGTAGGACCGCGTCTCATGCTTGGTTCCGGCTGGTCTCGCTGCGAGAAGGAAGCTCATGCAGGTTGTAACGTGTGGTATATACATCAATATACATACAGAGAACACTGGGGAGTGGATCTTAGCGACAGGGTTCTTGGCTGAACTACATTCATATAAAGTGTCCAAATTCCAAAATAAAATAAAGTAAAATAAAAGCATATGACCCAATATCTGGAGAAGCAAACTGCTTCCAGGCTCACTCCACAAACATTCCGCAGACTGACTTTAACCATTCGTGGTCGTGTCCAGAAGGACAGGCGTCGGCTCCCGATGTACCATCAGCCCACGGCGTGGCCAAGCTAAGTGTTCTCGGGGCTGGGGGCTCGTCGCCGCAAACAGTGAACAGGTGCACACAGCAGTGCCAGAGGTCAGCTAAATGCCGGGACCGAGTCAGACCCCCCCCCCCCAGCCCCGAGGCACGTGACTGGCCAGGAGGATGGAGAGGGTCACAGGACACTCCAGGGGACAAGGACACACAACACTGGACACACAAGGTCGCAAATACTCTGCCCTTTCCACTTAGGTAGTTTGGGCTTGACAAAAAGGAACCTTCTGAGAGATTCTCTGACTTCACACAGATGGGAAAGCCAGCTGCTTTTATTCCTCTTGCTAGATCAAACTTATGGCCGGGGCAGACCGTATTTTTTTGGTGTGAAATATTTTAGAAGTGAAGAGCCATCCGATTTCTGTTTTTTGATAAAAGGGGACGCGGCGTGTGGCCCCGCCCCCAGCATCACTAATCCCCCTCAGCTCTGCCTGCCTTGAGGAGCCAGAGAGCCGCCCCCTCCTCGGCGTCCCTATTTGGGATGACAAGGAACGCTGTCTTTACGAAGAAGGCAGTGAGTCTAGAGTGTGGGTACCAAGGAAATCATCTGAACGAAAATATATTCCAGAGAAATCAATGCCTTGTGAGATGTCAGTCTGCACGTTTTAAGATACAGCAACTGTTTTTGATTAAATAAATCAATAAAACTCTCCAAAACAGAAAAACATGATGAAAAGTGCAATTAAGATTCAGGATCAGAACGGAGCTCTGTGGCGTGCCTGGCCCCCCACCCCCACCCCAGGCGCGAAGGGCCTTCCGCTAGTGGGACAGCAGTCCCCGAGCCTGGGGACCACATGAGGGTCTCTGTCTTCCTGGAGTTAATACTTCAGGTTTAGCAAACAAAACAGAACAGAACCCTCCCAACCCCCACTGGGCAAAACGTCTTCACAACTGATTTTTCTCAATCAGGTTCTTGGTGGTGTCAGACTTCCCAAGTCTCTGAAATCCAGGGTTAGGGCACAGTGTGCAAAATAATACCTCGGAAAACAGTCACGGGGCAGAATGCACGCTGAGCCTCAAATAGGGCAGTTTGTTTAAAGTGCAGTTTCCTGACTGGCCTCCCACCTCCCTGAGGAGTTAACGTTTCCTTCCTCTGGTTCCCGCTCACGGGGGAGCTAATCCGGCTGCTGTCCCGTCCCGGGCACGGCTCCCTCCCTCCCGACCCCGGGCGCTGTCCTCCACAGCCCACGAGGCCCACGCGTGCCGGGGAGAATCCCGGTGGCCGCGGAGCTGGGGTCCTTGGGACCGGCACACAGTAGGGCCGTCCTTCTTCACTTGGGGCGGGGAGAGGACCACACTCCCCTCAGCCTTTACCCGACGGGAGGGAAGAAGCCAGACATACTGGGCGGCGTTTGTATGTACATGCAATATGTTTCCCCTGGGCTTTTAGTCAAAATCCAGGTATTCTGTAAAAACTAAGTCCGTCTCCCGATCCCCGTTAGAAAAAATACCATTTGTAGAGAGAATAAAAACGCAGGGGCTACAGATGTCGTCTGAGTTGGGAGCGCCTGCTCGGGGAGGGGAGCGACACCAGCCGGCAGCTTTCCTGCTGCGGGTGGAAGGCGCAGCCCGGCTGTGGCCTCCCTGCGCCCCCGCACCCCGGCTGCAGGAGAGCGGGCTGGTGTGGGCGGGGCTCGCCCCCTGCCCCTGGTCAGTCCCTGGTCCGGACCCACGGCTGCGACCGGCCACCCGGGGACCCACAGAGGCGCCGGGAGTCTCTGCACTTCTGGTCCGAATCTCCTGCTCTGAGCACGTGGGGTCAGGACCGAGGGGACAGTAGCTGCTGTGCTCCTGTCCTAGGTCTTCTGAGTCCAGAAAGGCGGGGCGGGGTCTCCCGTCTCTGCTTGCTGCACCCACAAGGCCCCCCCCCCCACTTCTGACCCAGCACCTCCTCGGGCTCCTGTCTGATCCTGAGTGGAAGAAACAAGGCAATTGGTGCAAATCTCTGAGCTCAGGTCGAGGCGCCACCCAGGACCCTAGCCCGCGCTCCTGACCATCTGCCGGCTCGGCCCGGGGCCACCCCGGGTGCTGCGGGGTGTGGAGCAGCGTCCCCGGGTCACCCCGACGCCAGCAGCACCCCTTCCCTGCCGTGACAATCAATGTGCAGACCCTGGTGGGGACGGCGTCTGTGGCCTCACCAGCTTCTGGCCTGAATACTGACTTCAAACACGCCTTTGATAAAGCTTCACTTAAAAATATGCCTTAAGTGGCATTTTCTAAGAATGAGTATCTCTACTTAATTAATTCTATTTCCATTCTGTGAAGATGTCTGGAGACTCATCCACACTCATTAGATTCAGAGGAAGGAATAAAATTGTGCAGTAGCCTCTGTGGATTCCTCCTAGTCCCTAAAAGTTAAATACTGCTGAAAAATCTCCAGCGAATGGCCAGGATTACCACCCACGCTGTACCTTTGATCACTTAGAAGTGAACCAACGCGTTTTCCACGATGCAACCCTAGGAGGGGCACAGAAGCTTCCGGGGGGGCTAAAGGTTAGAGGGAATCCAGGCTGCACCCTCACGGACGCACGCCGACACCACGCCAGGGGCCGCGTGTGTGTGCTGGGCTGGGCCTGTCGTGCAGGGTCCTCTCCCGGGCAGGCTGGGACAGTCACTGAGGGCAGCCGGGTCACGGCGGGCGGGCAGGAGACCCACCAGTAACACAGCCCTGACGCTCTCTTCAGGCTACCGCCTCCAACCTCTCCCTACGCTCTCCCCTTCTCCACACATAAAGTAATGTGGCGTAAGAGTGACCTGATATAATTACTTATTTTATAAACCACGTTCCTAACTCTGAATAAATTATTTATTCAAAAATTTCACACAAAGTAGTTTCTATTTTCCTAAACTTAAGGAAGCCCTACTCAGTAGAACTCAATTTCTAAACGTAAACGGAGATTGAAAGCAGTCACTGGATAATTCAAAGGGGTAATGCCGCTGCACAGGGGTGCCAGGTGGGGACACTGAACCCCAACACCCTTCCCACCCTCCCCGAAGTGCG